AATTCTGATGGGCTTGAAGTAGCCTGTGTTGCTGAGGAGACACGTTTCAGCCAACTAGAGATGGATCCATCGAATTGTTCTTGCTTTCTTCCTTTGTCTTTGTTCCTTTTTTATTTTGCCGTCATTCTGTATGCCATAACTTAAGAACAGAAGCTTGGCCATACTGGCTCACATCAATGGTCCATCTAGCCCAGTATCCTTTCTCTGATAGTGGCCAGAGCCAGATGCTTCTGGAAGTTGGAGGTTTAGGGACATACGGAGCATGGGGCTGCATCCCTGAACATTTTAGCTAATAGCCATTGATGGACCTATCCTCCATGAACTTATCTAATTATTTTTGAACCCATTTATAATGTCGGTCTTCACAACATCCCATGGCAACAAGATCCACATGTGTGGTGTGAAGAAGTATTTCCTTTTGTTTGTTTAAAGCCTGCTGTCTATTAATTTAACCAGGTGACTCCTAGTTCTTGTGTTATGAGAAGTAGTAAATAACACTTCCTTATTTACTTTCTCCACATCAGTCATGATTTTAAAGACCTCTATCATATCCCCCCTTAGTCATCTCTTTATTAAGCTGAACAGCCCCACTCCTTTTAGAGTAACAGCCGTGTTAGTCTGTATTCGCAAAAAGAAAAGGAGTACTTGTGGCACCTTAGAGACTAACCAATTTATTTGAGCATGAGCTTTCGTGAGCTACAGCTCACTTCATCAGATGCATACCGTGGAAACTGCAGCAGACTTTATATATACACAGAGAATATGAAACAATACCTCCTCCCACCCCACTGTCCTGCTGGTAATAGCTTATCTAAAGTGATCATCAGGTGGGCCATTTCCAGCACAAATCCAGGTTTTTCCAGGGGGGGTGGAGGGTGAGAAAACCTGGGATTTGTGCTGGAAATGGCCCACCTGATGATCACTTTAGATAAGCTATTACCAGCAGGACAGTGGGGTGGGAGGAGGTATTGTTTCATATTCTCTGTGTATATATAAAGTCTGCTGCAGTTTCCACGGTATGCATCTGATGAAGTGAGCTGTAGCTCACGAAAGCTCATGCTCAAATAAATTGGTTAGTCTCTAAGGTGCCACAAGTACTCCTTTTCTTTCCACTCCTTTTAATCGCTCCTCTGATTAAAGCTGTTCCATACCCCTAATCATGTTCATTACCCCTCTCTGTAACTTTTCCAATTCTAATTTTTTTTTTTGAGATGGAGCAACTAGAACTGCCTGCAAGTATTCCAGGTGTGGGCGTATAATGGATTTATATAGCAGCTATGATATTTTCTGTTTTATTATCTCTTTCCTAATAGTTCCTAACATTCTGTTAGCTCTTTTAACTGCTGCTGCACATTGAGTGGATGTTTTCAGAGAACTAGCCACGATGACTCCAAGATCTCTCTCTTGAGTGGTAACAGCTAATTTAGAACCCATCATTTTGCATGTATAGTTGGGATTATGTTTTCCAATATGCATTACTTTGCACGTATCAATATTGCATTTCATCTGCCATTTTGTTGCCCAGTCACCCAGTTTAGCGAGATCCCTTTGTAAATCTCCAGAGTCATCTTTGGACTTAACTATTTTAAGAAATTGTGTATCACCTGCAAATTTTGTCACCTCACTGTTCACCCCTTTTTCTAGATCATTTATTAATATGTTGAACAGCACTGGTCCCAGTACGGAACGTTATGGGACCCTGTTATTTACCTCTCTCCATTGTGAAAACTGTTTGTTTATTCCTACTCTGTTTCCTCTCTCTTAACCAGTCACTGATCCATAAAACGACTTTCCCTCTCATCCCATAACTGCTTAGTGTGCTTAACAGCCTTTGATGAGGGACCTAGTCAAAGGCTTTCTGAAAATCCGAATACACTATATGTCTGTTGATTCCCTCAAAGAATTCTAATTGAATTTGGTAAGGCATGATTTCCTTTTATAAAAGCTGAGTTGACTCTTCCCCAACAGATCATGTTTATCTTTGTCTAATAATTTTGTTCTTTGCTATAGTTTCAACCAATCTTCCCGGTACTGAAGTTAGGTTTACTGGCCAAAATGAACAGTTGCAATTATGCTTACTAGTTTAAAAGAAGGAGAGTTACTCTAATTAAATTCTGAAAGGATTATAGAATTATGTTTTCCATCCCTCTTACTAAGCAAAAAATCAAGGTCTTTGCATTCAAATGAGCAGTGCTCAAAGTCAGCTAAAGGCCACTGACACACAAAACTCTTTTCCCCACCCCCTTTAGCTACTGAAAAGATGGCATATTCTGATTTAGTGTGTCGTTTTATAAAGGGTATATTCAATAGTACACGGAGGCAGACCAGAGTTTTCATGCTCTGTTTGTGTCACCGAAGGCATATCTCACAACATAGAGAGGACCAGCAAGAGCAACAGCAGTTGTGGTTCTATATTCACAAAAGTAAAATATATTTCTCCAGTAGAAACACAGTTATGAAGTGTCAGCAGCTGGAACCAGGGAGCCAAGCCCCATGGACATACCCCAGCATCCTGCACACTGGCCATCTACCAACCTTACGGTTCTGCCTGCAGACCTTCAAGAGCGGCTGCAGAGTAATTTAGGTTTAATTTACCAAATGTAACCAACAACAAGGACCAAGTAACTAGGAATGCATTGCTTAGCCAGATGCTGAGGTGACATTTGACCACAGTGAGGATGAGACTATTGCCAAACTCTTGATGTGTAAATTCTCCTGGATATAGATGGGCATGCTTCTAGGAAGTCTCTCCATAAAAGAGAGAAACAGGAAGAAACCCCAAATCAGTGAACAGAAGGCAGCTAACACGTTAAGGTGATCCACCTGGTCCTAACACTGCATCAGGGGAAACACCTTCAATGTTCAGCAGGCAGAGAAGCACCAACAAACTGTTGCTTCAGATGCTGAGATTGTAGCTATTGTTCCCTTTGTCTTTTACTGTGTCATTCTCATCACTGATGTCATGATATCCTATGGCAGCAGCCTGGAGGGAGTGGGCTTATTTACACAGCTCCAGTCATGTGACTGTCTGGGTAAAACAAATAGGTCACATTCAGCAGTGCTTACATTAACAGTAGGGTACTGTTTGGAGATGAAACCTTGCATCGTAGGGCGCGTCTACCATTTCTAGCTCTAAGTGGACACATACCCTTACTGTGTGCCTGCTACTGCTGCAGAGGCTGTGTGCGCAGAATTGAGTATATCCTTTCTTGGCTAAACTCTGTCCGTTTTTTTGACTCTGCTGTAAACTGGTGTTTGCTATGAAGGGTTTTTTTGTGTGTGTCCTGCCTGGCCTAAATTGCATCATAGCTCCCTGCAGTCCCCTTTTGTCCAACGCTAAGCTGAGAAAAATCCTGGCTCTTGATTTCATTTGGATTTTCATTTGCTAGGCCCAATCCTGAGCATCTGCAACTCCTGAGCGTCTGTGAAGGTAATGGGAGCTGTGGATGCTCAGTGCTGCTTCAGATCAAGGCTTTTTTACAAAAAAGGGAGCATGTCAGAGGTCAGCAGGGTACCAGACTACATATGTGCAATTTCCAAAAAAGCACAGACTGCATTTAATCTGCTGCACAGATGCAGTTGCATTGCAATGGATGAATAACTGTCTCTTGTACCTGCATTTGATGCCTCAGACAATGGAGTGTGTGGTGTGTAACTAGTTTATCTATTTACCCTGACATGAACATACCAGAGACCTAAGTTTTCAGACATTACACCAAAACCCCCAGAAAATGAATGACACGCTGCCATTCAAGAATTCACGACCATCACATTTGAATTTGAATTGGCTTCTCACTTTTTTTTCCTACGCATAAATGAAAAAGACAAGCAACTCCTTTTTGTGGAGTGCAAAATTCTCTGGAATGAAATGGCAAAACATTTTGCCACTTTTGCATGGACCTAAAAATTTATTCTTATTTTTTTCTAAACTTTTAAATTTCACAGCTATCACTCAGTTTCATTTAGCAGAGAAAAAACATGAAATGCAGAAACATACAGGAAAAATTGTCCACTGAGAACACTGACAACAGGCTGCTTTAAAAAATGGGTCAGTACATGCAACTGTTATTAGCCATACAAACCTTTGTTAATCTTTTTACCTTTATGGTATATGAATGGGCCAAATTCAGCTCTCATTTACACTAGTGTAAATATGGAGTAACACCATCAAGATTAGTGTTCTAAATGAGAGCCGAATTTGGGCCAATATGCAGTGGGTGAAATTCACACCAGCACAAGACCTGTGCATGACAAGCTCCATTTTGATGACTTGTAAAGTGGTGTGACTTTACCCTAAAAGAAATAAGGAATGATTTAAAAAAAAAGTGTGATTTATTATTAGAAATCGTGTGTAAGAAAAATACAAAGATTATAGCCTGTAATTTGTTTTGTTATCCTACATCTAGATAAAAAATAGCTGCTTGTCAATTAACCTTGGTGTAAATATTTATCTGGATAGTCTGGTTATGAGTACTGTGTATGCACACACTATTACTTTAATGGCATGAACAGATGCAATCAATACACTAAGCAGAAAAAAAGAATCTGATCAAGTAAAAATAAAAATAAAAAACAAATCTAAAATTCAATCTATACATTGATATAATTTGCTATCATGTTTTATGTACAACACAGGATTGTGTTCAATGTATTAGGAAAAATTCTGCTCTAAGTCTGGAGAACCTCCACAGAAGAAATCGGTGGAGCTATTTTCACTTATACTGATGTAAATGAGAGCAGAATTTGGCCCATTTAGTTCAATACTGTAAAGAGCTTTAAGACACATGTAATAGGACCAGTAATGGCAAATACCAGAATATGCATGAACACCAAGTCTATCCTCAAGATGTAATGAGATGTCTAAAAGAACAATACTGCATATTTAATTACATGATTTTTCCTTATGCTGCTAGGGATAAGCATATTATACTATTAGGTACTTCTACCCAAAAAGTACAATCCTGAAAATTATAGCTGCTAAATAATGTTATATGTCTCACCTAACTGCTTTTCCCGTTCCTCTCTCCGTATCCGTGCAAGCCGTTGTCTGTCATCAACTTTTAGTACAGGTGGATGGTCTGCAACAACAAATAAACAAAAAATCAGAAAGAGAGATTAAGATCTTATTTTAGAAAATGCAAGTTTACTAGAACAGCAACCACTACCTATAATGGAAGCTATAATGGCAGTCTCAAACATAAAATCCAGTGTCTCCAGAAATTCCTCATATTAAATGAAGACTATCTATTTAGTATAAGTGTGAACCCATTCTAATTATACCAAGGTGAAAAGAACCATCATAAATGCTCACTGAAAAATCTAGGGTAAAGTGGCAACTCTGATCCCTCTAGCAAGGTTGCCTGTTCTTGCTACAACAAAGCTAGATATATTTTTAAAATCTTTATAACTTAGAGACTTTAAAAATCACTTTGGAGTCAACTTTGGTTATTTTTTTGTGTGGGTACAGTTTGGGGAAAAAAAAAACAATCAACTTATCTCAAAGATGAAATACAGTAAGATGCTGTTAAGTAATAGGGACATTTCTGGAATTTTAAAAAATGATGGCAGATTCATCAGAGCTTAACTTTAACCACATAAGTAATATCATAGCATGCTTAAAAATAAACACAAACTTAAATGCTTTCCTGAATCAATGCCTACATTGGCCTATAAGCTATCTGTTCTATGTTAGAAAAGTAAAAACCAATCATACATCATATATTTTGATTTTTTTTTTTGCTGAAGCTGACAGGGCAATAGTGTAATATCTCATTGATGTTGCATTGTAATTTCCGATAAGACACTGAAACCCCTCCTTGATACATAACCACAGAGTATGCTCACTGTGCAGTACATAGACCATGAAATGGTAATAGCTTTGAAAAAGCCATTTCTTTGAGGACTGTTGAGAAGTGCAGTACGTGAAAAACCAAGTCAGATCTTGACAAAGTAATGCGCGGAATTTATGTCCCCCACAGATTTCTTTGCTTCCTCACAGAAAAATGACTTTCTGACGGGGAAGCAAAGGGAAGCCACAAGAGCGGTCATGCAACCCTCCCCAGCAGTATGTTTTGGGTTCCCAGGGCAGCCGGCAGAGAGGTAAATTACTGTGGGGCAAGGAGCAGGACTGGGAAAGACCTGGCTTGTGGCTCATACCCTGTGCCGGGCTCAGCTGATAGTCACAGCTGAGCTGGGGAGGACGGGACTTCCTCTTCCCCTGCATGGCACCTGGGGCTGGGTCAGACCCATGCCCAGTTCCACCCTCCCCCACTGCAGGAAGCTCTGCAAACCTCCTCCACCCGCTTTCCGCACTCATCACTCATCAGCTGCAGGGGGAGGGATCCCTGTACAAGGAGCTGCTCCACCATCTGCCCAACCCCCATGCATCCAGAACCCCTCATACCCAGGCCCTCCCGCCGAGCCTCACCCCCCACATTCAGAACCACCCTGATGAGCCCCACTTCCTCTGCACCTGGACCACCCCGACAAGCCATCTGCACCCGGATCCCCTCCCCACTGAGCCCCATTCCCACAGCAGCTGGACCGCCCACTGAGGGTGCTTTGTCAGGGGAGAGGTGGGACAACTTGCTTTGCCACTACCTATTCTTTATTTGTTCTTTAGATAAATGAGTTCGGTCTTCAGGGTTGTTAATTTGACACTCCTCACAAGTACTGAAAAGTTTACTAAAAAAACAAAACAACAACAGAAAAACAGAATGATAGAAAAGATTTTTGGGTATAATAAACAGTCAGTGTTATTTTGATACTGGGAAGAATTAGTTTTTATAGTTTTCATATTAAAACAAAAAGAATGGGGCTGGGACTGCGTCTTCATCATGAAAAGAGACTAGTACACTCTGGATGTGACTGGAATCTAAATAATAATGTAAGCAAGGTAACTATTAATACAGACACTGTTGTGCTTTTAGAATCTCAAACGCACCAATTTTCAAGTAAAGCAAGTGGCACTCAATTTATACATTCAGTTATGCAACGTGAGTTCACATATACTTGATATACACAATCATATCAAGGATGTGTGTGCATAAGTAAGTCTGTGCTTGCTAATGTCTGCATATGACTGCACCTTACTTTGAAAATCTGGTTTTATAATATCCAAAGCTATGGTCCAATAGAAAATAACACTTTCACTGAATAAAGTTGAGGCAAAACTAACATATTTGTGGAAAATAAATGTTGGAGCGAAGTTGAGATGTTTAAAAACTGATTTATGATGGCTATTTGACTTACAGTAAATAAATAATTTAGATATAATCATCTGACTTGATGCTGGTGCACTAGAATAACAGATCCTTGCCATCTTGGATGAATAAATTGTTGCTCCCTAGCTTAAGTTTAATTATTTTAAAAATGTTATCAGTGAACAATGATCTGATGATGTAATACCAATCTGATTAGTGGTTAGAGATTACAGTCCTGATTCAATGAGTTACACTAATGTAAGACTAGAATACCAGTGGCAAATCACACTCAATGTTGGTAGAATGAAACATAAATTTATTAACTGGGCTACAAGCTGAAAATTAGGTTAACATTACTAAAGTGAAGTGAAAAGCCATTAACAAGGATACAGGTAATTTGTTACCTAAACTCACCAGGCCAGATTCTTAACTATTGTATATTGGCCTAGATTACTGAAGACTATGTAGCTATGCTGTTTTATGCCAGTTTTGATTCTGGCTCCCATGCATGGTAGATATTCAGAATTTGGATTGATTTAAGAAAAATGGCTCTTGTCCATTCTTTTTAGCATACAGGGGCTAGATATGGGTTAACACAGCCTTCTGGAATGCCAACAAACCCCTCAATTCTTGTGACTGGCCCAGAGAGGACAGTTTATGGATCTTTCCAAGTCGAGTAGGCTGTAGACATTTGGATCATTGTGCAATAAATATGAATTCCCCCAGGAAAGAGTTTGTTTTCAGCAACTTCAGCATTCTGTCAACTTGGTGGTAAGCAATCGGGGACATCAGGATCATCTTCTAGAGTACATGCTGCTTCTTTCAGAATACACTATTCCCTACCTGGTTCTTTTCTACCTTTTGTCAGATGTTTACATAGGAGAGAAGGAGAGGGATTCCTCTGAAAGGAACAAAGATTATGAGGAAAGATGAATTGTGAAAGTCTTTTCTAGAGACTGGCCAATAATGAGCAGTGGCTTGAATAAAAAAACGTGCTCTCTGCCATTCAATATAAAGAACTCAATTCCTCTTGCTACACTGCACATTTAACAATCCTGACAGAAATGCTAGAAAAGCCTCATGGAATTCAGCAGCATGTCCCAAATTGTGCAGGGGGTGCGCCTGTATTCTAACATGGGTTGTTCTCCATTGTATTTTTTGGGTGTGTGTAAGTAGTAGTAAATTTTGGCAAAATTTTGGGTATGAGAGCTCAGGGATTAGTGGCAAACCAAATATCACACCTGCCTCTGCTCTGTTGGTGGTTGGAATAGACAGGGGTAATGAAGCAAATCCTACTAGGTTAATTATATGTCTCCACTAGGTCTGGAAATCAGGTCTGGAAATCAACCCTTCCTTGTTTGGCCTCGTGCCCAAATGCCAACAATAGCACTCTGGATCCCACTGATCAGTTGACACTTGAGTATATAATTTTAAAATATGTGGTTAGATAGAAAAGTTCCACAGGGCACTACCACCCCTTTTGTCTCTCATCTCTTTGCACATTTAGACAGGGTCTCTCAGTTCAATACACGCATGTCTGGGTCCCAGAGGGACTGGCACTTTAGAGAAGTGTAAAAATGCCAGTCTGTATGTTCAGAGTAACATAACTCAGCCTTAATCTTATTTATCACGGTCACATGCTCGGGGTTCTCCCACAGCGAGATGGAAGATGGGCTGCTAGGGGCCGCTGATGCAGGGTTCCCCTAGCTCTCATTCACTGAAGTGGGAGCTGAGGGTGCACAGCTTCTTGTAGAAGGTGCTGAAGCACGTTGCAGGATCAGGCCATTGGTGTGGAAGCTGCTGAGTGGTCATACTGCGATGTTTTTGTATTCATTATGCTCAGCTCCCCATTTCATTATATTATTGAGATAATTATACCTAACAGAGTTTCAGGGCATAATATACCAATGCTCAATGTTTTACCTGTCTGACAGGAGTGCTCTGAAGTTATCAGGGAGGCACTGCTCATGGTTCCATAGCTAAAGTTTAATTTACAACTTAAAGCAGGGATGCAACTCCCATGAAAATACAGTGAATTCTCCATAAAAGTTTGCTTTTGAGTGCTTCCTTTTTGAGTACAGAATGAATAAATTTTCTGAGAATTTACCAGTAAATCTATGAAATTAGTTTAGGACTTATAATTAAAATGGATCCCTTAAGAAATTTAGCACAAAGTATCAACCTTTTTTGTCTCCAACTATCTTAGCAATGGAATAATAGAGACTCTTCAAACTTTCCATATAATGAATATTAATTGAAATTTTCTGCATAGGTTACTTTTGAAGAAATTAGGTTATAGTTATGCTAAGTTACTGATTATTATATCTAATTATTAAGATTACTTCACAGACTATGGGCCAGCTTCAGTAGCTCAGGCCACTCTTAACTGGGGCCATTGTGACATCACAGATAATGCTCCTTTCTTCATGCTCATCTTCACTCAAGACCCACAAGCTCTCCTCACACACAACCCCTTCCCTTCTCCTCTTGACTCTCATGGTACTGCTTTGTGGTGTTGGGAGACCTGAGGTGGACAGTGAGGGAGGTCATTGGGAGAGAATGAGGAAGTGGACAGGATAGGGGGAAGCTGGTATGTGTGGGCGGCCCATGGGAAAGGAGGACTGTGTGTTGGCCACCAGTGCTATTCAAAGGAAGAGCCTTCCCTCTCATCTACATTCACTCTATCTCCCTAATCCTTGCACTGTCCTCTTCTCGTCTGCCTCAAACCCTTTTAGATAACTTAAAAAAAAATAGATCTGCTTCCTTTCAGCTATGACAGTCAAGTTCCAGTTTCACATCCTGGAAGATTACTTAGTAAGTGTGTCTGTGTATTTTTTACAAAAATAATTATACCATAAAAACACCACCACCATCGCCACTTCACCCACTCACAGAGTAAACTTTGTTCAGGACAGGACTGGGGCATTTTTACTACCATGTCATGAAAAAGCTTTGAGTATGTTTTCATAACAGTGGTAAAAACAACTGTATCAGCTAAATCAAGAAACCAATTGCAAGTTAAGGGCCAGATTCACTAGTAAACTCTGACTGGTTTGCACTGTTTCACTGATGCAAAACAACTGTAAACCTGGTGTAACTGGCCACTACACTGCAGCTATTTTGTGCTACTCCAGAGTTCTACAAAATACACAAAATGTACCAGTGAATTCAACCTTAAGAGATAAAATAAAATATAATTTAAAAAAAGGAACGTTTGATACTAATACATAGCTGAGACTCATTCTGGACACTACACGGTAGCACTCTCTTTTTTGTTTTGTTTTTTGTATAGCATTTACGTAGTTATGGCTTGGTATAAGAAGAGGGAGGGAGCACTTGGTGAGCCGTGAAGTGCTGCTATGCCCAGTCGGCCACTGGTGCAAGGTCCCCGAGGGACTTTATTCTAGTGGCGTAGGTTACAGGTGCTCTTTTAAAGCTCTAATGTGCATGGAGCCTAGAAACTCAGAAACAACTCCATCTCCACTTTGCCCCTGGGACTGAGTGGAGAACCAAGCTTTAGGAGCTGGGTTTTGTTTGGGGTGGGGCAGGAACTCCACTCACTCAGTGTGAACGACTGCTTACGACTGGACTCTGGCATTGTTATAACCATGGAATGAAAACGCATATGAGCCTTGTCTACACTTGTCTTAGCAGGGGAAAGTGGCACCATTCTGAAACATGGGTACTAATTTTAGTAGTGCAGATGCAGCCTTGCTGGCTTTAAGGTTGCACCTCATGCACTGAGACCTGACTCCTTCCATTTAGGAACTAAAGGCTTGTCTACACAACTATTTAAATTGTAGCAAGCAAGGGTATGAAACTACCCCATGGTAGCCCGCTGATTTCATATGCTTTTTCTGGTGTAAGCACAGAAAGAAAGAGGACTTTTTTTCCATTTTTCAGAACAAAATTAAAAAAGCTTTTTTAATTCTTTGTGCATAATCAGCACAGCTGAATAGGAATAATCATTCATAATTATTTTCAACTGAAGTAGCAGCAGATGAAATATAAGAGGTTTTTTTAAAGGTTCTACAAAAATAACAGCTTTTCTGTAGTCTAGGCAAACAAGTAGTGGTGGTAAGAAGTGTGTAATGGCGTACCTGCTTTAGCTGCAGAGTTGTTGGGGCTTTGCCTTGAAGCAGCAGAAGTGGGATGGCTGGAAGAAGCAGCTTTCTCGTCTTGTACTTTAGAGTCTTCGGATGCTAAAAAGAGAAGGGAAAGAGATTACTTAATTAACCATGCTATTAGAAAACAGTCTCTCTCTATTACACTGTAAGTTATTAATGTTATATAGCATTTAATTAACAACTCTGGGCATGCCTGTTATTTTAGAAAAAGTATCCTATAACATTTGGGGTAGACAAATGGTCCTTCCAAATTTCCCCATAAAATTTCAACAGCATGCATGATTATCTAGCCATGCAACTCCACATTTAGGTTGAAGAAAGATGTATAACAAAATTCCCCCTCTACAGTGCTCCCTTTAATCCTGTCTCTGAATTGTCTATGCTATACTACTAAAGGCTCATTTTTTTCTCCTATCCTCTCAGCGATGCTTAAATCCATGTTGAGCCATTACCTCTGACCAGCATATGAGACCACTGCTTCCAAAACCAGCCACATATCCCCAAATTCATCAGCCTTCAAACACCTGTTCCATTTCCTTCAGAAGGAGCTGGATTGGGCTCTTAATCAGGGCTAACAGCAGTAAAGCAGCACAAGCAACAACAGACTGAGGCTGCCCAGTGATTTAGGAGTAGCACAAACACTCCAACTAGAGCTGGGCAAATAACTGATTTTTTAGTTCAGCCGGCAAACTGGAAAATCAGAACAAACATTTGGTTCGGTTCCAAAAACGTTCAGAATATATGTCAGCAAATTGGAAAAGTCTGGTCAGGTTCAGAAAAGAGGGACTCTCTCATCCCTGCCTGTTTCAGAGGAGGGATTTAACACCATATGTCCTACTTCCCAGTTGAGTGCCTTAATCACCAGGCTACTGAGTCATTCTCACTCTCTCTTTGACCCAACGACTAGTTCTGTATTCGTTCAAAGTGGAACAGCTTCACCAGGAGAATTGAAAGAACCCACACCACAGAACAGCCTAGAGGCTGGCAGTTAGGATGCTCACATAAGGAGGGGGCAGATCTGAGTTCAAGTCTCTGCTATAGAGTAAGAAGTCAAACCTGGGGCTCCTATACCCATGTAAGTGCCCTAATTATTGGGCTAAATGTTGTAACGGGGGAGCAAACGTTTGTGTATCTACCACAAACACACTTTTTTCTGAAGCTGGCCCTGAAAACCATTTTCCCAGTTGAAATTAATTGGGTCAAATTTGCACGTGGTTTTGGGTCGACTGAAACTGCATTTATTTTTGGCAAATAAACTATTTGTCTGAAAATTTTTGCCCAGCCGTGACTCCAATTTATGTATCACCTATTCTACATTCTGTGCACTGAAGTAAAGAGGAATTTATATTGCTAAGAGTCAAAAGCAAGTCCCAGCTTCCTACATTTACTGCACAAAACATTAACAACACTTCAAAGACTGTTTATATTTTACGAGCACACCATAAAACTCTGCTATAGGTTCAGATGACAATTTAGGGCTTGATTGAAAGCCTGCTGAAGTCAGTAGAAAAAGCGTCTCATTGATTTCAATAGACATTGGCCCTTTGTGGGTCCAGAAAGAGATGCTTCTGGGCTCGACAAACTCCTTTACTCCTATTGAGAAAGAAAAAATGGGAAGCTTCACTTTCAAGTGTATTTAATCTTAGGCATAAATCAAAATAGTAACCTTACTCTGTTTATATTTGATGAAAACAAAGCCAGCCAGTCAGATTTCATGTCTCTCTCAGCTAATGGTTTGCCTCTGAGGTATACTCTTCTACTGTATGGATGAGTACAATTTCCTAAAGCCAAACAACCTGGGAAAATTAGAATGATGGTCAAACTTTGTGGAAGGGTTTTTAGAATTATTTCCAATGGTTCGAACAAATTCTGACTCAAAGGAAAAGGGAGATTTGTAGCAAAACCAATATACTTTTAAAAATCTAAATTGTTTAACTGAAAATCTCATTAGAAATAAGAGCTGGAGAAATTTGATTGCCATAGCTTTCAACGCTAACAAGTATTGCTCCATTAGGTTCACTTTGCTAAGTGAAGCTTTTAAGTCCCAGGTAATCAGAGAGATGGTATTGAAAACATAATTAAAAAACTTTCAGGAGGCCCCAAGGGATTTCCTAGTATTGTTTGCTTGAAGACTCTATATATGCTCCTTGGGAAAAAATAAAATCATTTAAGCACTATCTGGAATGATTAACAATAAAGCTTTGCTATTAAGCTCTTTACTGATCCTGCATGAAGTGCTTTATTTCATCAGTCATAGTTTAGGGTGGGTAAAATAGAAAGGAGCGTGACTAAGGTGCTATACAGCATCTACATCTGGGCTTCTGATGAAAAAATGGAAACTGAAAATTTTCCATTAAAACCATCAGTTTTCAAAAGCCAGGAGTTTTCCTGAGAGTGTTTTTTGGCCTTCAAACATTTTTTTGCTTTTTGGAAAGAAATTGTGAGAGACGTTTTGGAATTTTTTAAAAACATGTCTTACAAAAAAATAATTGGCATTTTTTGACCAGCTCTAATAAGCATTAACCATGGAGCCACCAAGGGTATTGTCTACACAGCACCTGGGAGCATGCCTCCCAGTAAGGTAGACAGACATGCACTAGCATGCTAAAAGTAGCAGTAAGAATGTTGTGGCATGGGTGGCCACAAGTACAAGCCCGCCTGACCACCTGGGTCTATGCTCAGATGGCTAGCCTGTGCTATCACCCATACCACAACATCCACACTATTTTTAGCGAGCTAGTGCAAGTCTGTCTACCTCTACTGAGAAGCATGCTCCCAGTTGTAGTGTAGACATACCCAAAAGTCAAGGGAAGTCATCCTTGTAGCACCTGGCTAGGGCTGGCTCTATCCACAATAAGTTACTCCACTGCTAAAAAGCAGCACAATGGAGGTCAAGACCTGTTAACATTTCCATTGCAAAGGCTGCTCTAAGAGTTCAATATCTTGCTATTTTAATGTCCTATTGGATGGGAACTTAGCAAAAGGGTTTGTCCACCGTACTAAGCAATAAAAATTATGTTATAGAATTTCAGATGCTTTTTGCCTAGCCCTTATATGCACAACAACCTTTGAAAAAATACAATAGAAAAATAATACAACTTCGTGAACACTTAGCCTCTAAACATACCATTTTCAAAACAGTGCATTTGAAACACGCTGTATATTTTTGTTACTTTAGTTATAATCTCCTTTTTTCACTGCTGCGTCACTGATGACCCACACAGAAGTTCATCTTCAAAGCCTAATGGACAGTTTTACCAAAGCCTGCCAAGACTTCAGGCTTACTATAAGCCTAAAAAAGACGAACATAATGTGCCAAGGAGTTGAGGAAGCACTTTCCATCAAGAACAACTATGAACTTGAAGTGGTGAATGAGTTCACATACCTGGGGTCCACTATCGCAGCCAACCTTTCACTTTAAACAACTCAACATCCGCACTGGAAAAGCCACCACAACAATGTCTAGACTGAAGAGGGTTTGGCAAAAACAACAAACTGACAGAACACACAGAGATCTGTGTGTACCATGCGTGTGTTATCAGCACACTTTTGCATGGGAGAGAGACATAGCAGGAAAAGAGGCTCAACAGCTTTCAGTGAATCTTTGGTATCTCCTGGAGGGACAGAGTCACCAACATTGAAGTGCTCAAGAAGGCCAGCATACTCAGCATGCAAACACTCCTCAGACAGAGACACCTCTGCTGGGTTGGGCATGTGTGTGGAATGAATGATGGGCACATCCCAAGGGACATCCCCTATGGTGAAGGATGCCCAAAATTGCATTTCAAGGATGTGTGCAAGTGAGAAGAAATGGACATGGATGTGGACAATTGGGAAGATCACATTCAAGACCACAGCCTTTGGAAACAGGAGCTCAACACAGGTCTCCGGAGTTACAAGAGGAAGCCATCCAGCTTAGCAGAGGAGAAAAGAGCTCACAGAGGACGGAGCCCAAAGGGTCAAACCATCACCTTTAAGTGTGACAGCTACAGCAGGGACTGTCTCTCTCGAGTTGGTGGGTTTCTTCAGCCACGTTCGCGGCTGCCATAAAACCAACTGAGTAAATTCTTTACCTCTCAGAGGTGCATACCCATGGTCTCTCAAGACTGAAGTTTGCCTGTTAACTAATCTCCTTTTTTAATTTATATCGGCGATGTACTGAAACTCTGTCATGCGAAGTAATCTTTGGGAAGTGGTTTACTATTTCCTTTTGGCAATGTTGAGTGTTTTAGGTCCCGATCCTGCAAACAGCTATGTACATGGTTAACTTTACTCATGTGGAGTAGTTCCATTGACTTCAGTGAGACGGGCATCCAGTAGATATTGGGAAGTATGTATTAATACCATTGTACAAGACCCTAGTAAGGCCTCAACTGGAATAGTGTGTACAGTTCTGGTCACCCACGTTCAAAAAATAAATTCAAATGGGAACAGGTGCAGAGAAGGGCTACTCGGCTGATCAGGGGAACAAACACTATTTTACAAGGAGACTAAAAGAGCTTGTCTTGTTTAATCTAGCAAAATTAAGGCGGAAAGGTGATATCATTACTCTGTGTAAATACACCAGGGGAGTAAACACCAGGAGGGAGAAGAGCTATTTAAGCTAAAGGACAATGTTGGCATAAGAACAAATTGGTATAAACTGGCTAGGAACAAATTCAGGCTGGAAATTAGAAGGTTTCTAACCATCAGAGGGGCGAGGCTCTGGAACAGCCTCTCAATAGGAACTGTGGGGGCAAGAAACTTAACTAGGTGTAAAACGGAGCTTGATAAATTTATGAATGGGATTATATGATAGGGTTGCGATAGCAGGGGACTGAACTCAATGACCCAAGAAGTCCCTGCCAGTCCTATGTTCCTATTCATTCATGTGAATTATGTTAAACACATGCATGTGTTCATAAGATTGATGTAGTTCACAGGCTCAATCTGAAACTTTTTAGGTTCTTTATTTTTGTGGTGTTAGTTTTTTTTTTCAAATTGATTTTACTCAGCTGTTTGCACATCTTTAACAGTGCATTTGCACTTTTTTCTCCCCACACTGCATTGCACACCTATGAAACATCTTGTTAATT